ATCTAATTACCCCAGTCTTTGTTCACCAACATGAAGTCCCGATCCAATACCTTAAGTTTAAAATATTCATCCTCAACTTCAAATCTAACCATGGGTATTACCCTCACTATTGCTGTAATCCACTTCAGCCTCATAACTCTGAGAAGTCTGCATGCCTTCAATTTTGGACTCTTGCACATAATTTTGGAGGTTGGATCTTCAGTTGCACAAACCCTAAACTCCACAATTTCCTCTTTAAATCCGCAGCTCCCTACCTCTCTTACTTTCTTCAACATATTTTGTAAAACCTATGCCTTTGGCTAAGTTGACGTCTCCTTCTTTGGCTCAGTAATGTTTCTGTGAATTGACTTGGAACTTTATGTTACTGATGCAATGAATATATGCAAACTGGCTGAGAACTTAAAATTATATCAAATCCCAACGGCAGAAGTCAGTACTGCTGGTTGTGATTTGGCCTCAGAACTAGAGGAAATTCATCTTGCTTCTGAAAGAGAGGTTTTTTGTTTTTTTCCCATGCATATTGCATATTTTGTGTGTGTGTGTGCGTGCGTTTGTGTGTATATGTGTGTTTGTGTGTGTGCGTATGTGTTTGTGTGTGTGTGTTTTTGTGTATGTACATGTTTGTGTGTGTATGTGTATGTGTTTGTGTGTGTGCGTTTGTGTGTGTGCATGTGTTTGTGTGTGCGTTATGTGTTTGTGAGTGTGTGTGTATGTGTTTGTGTGTGCGTATGTGTTTGTGTTTGTGTGTGTGTGTTTTTGTCTGTGTGTTTTTGTGTGTGTATGTGATTATGTGTGTTTGTGTGTGTTTGTGTGTGTGCATGTGTTTGTGTGTGTATGTGTTTGTGTGTGTGTGCATGTGTGTGTGTGTATGTATTTGTGTGTGTGTGTATGTGTTTGTGTGTGTGTTTTTGCGTGTGTATGTGATTATGTGTGTTTGTGTGTGTGTATGTGTTTGTGTGTGTGTATGTGTTTGTATATGTGTGTTTGTGTGCGTGTGCATGTGTGTGTGTGTTTGTGTGCATGTTTTTGTGTGCGTGTGTTTGTGTGTGTGTGTTTGTGCACACATGTGTGTGTGTGTATGTATTTGTGTGTGTGTGTTTGTGTGCGTGTGCATGTGTGTGTTTTTGTGCATGTTTGTGTGTGCGCGCGCGTGCGTGTGTGTGTGTGTTTGTGTATGTATCTGCGTATGTGTGCGTGTGTGTGTGCGTGACTGTGTGTCTGTGTGTCGGTCTGATGTGATTCTGGCTGACCAAGAAATTCTCCCACTCTTTGCACCTGTTACAGGCAGATCAGAACGATTCACAAATTGACAATCGACCTGTTTGTCTGAACTATGACATACCTTCCATAACCATCAAGTACTAGAGTAGGATCTTACTAGACCTTGGGTCAGATGTAGAGACACTATCAGCTGCATCGATGAACCTAGAGTTATCTTTACTTACTGGAGCACGTGTTTTACAAATGCTGCATTAATCACAGTGATAGGGATATGGTCAATTAAGCATATGATTTGCTTTTAAATCACTGGAATATTGAATAACTTGTTGAAATGACTAAAGATGAAGCCGAAAGAGCTCTCAGGTTTCAGCAAACATGGTCTGACCTACAGCCATGACTGCAATCAGTGAAGTAGACAGTCAGTAGGATGGTATGGACAGAATAGGAAGCATCAGCTGGGGGGAACTGTTCCAAGTTGATACAGTCAGAGCACAAACCAAGCACATTTACTTTGTACCTAAAACACTACATTCTGTTTTGTTTCTTGTTTTTAACCTCAAGAGTCAGGAACTAGACTTTGTAAGTCCACCTTTAATAAGCAAATTAAATAGGATGAAGTGTGGGGATGCTTCCTGTGTATTTATAATTGATTCTGAAGTCTTATCCTGACATGTTTGTGGGAAGTTCCTGGAAAGTTTCAACTTCTGTTGAGCAATTCATCAAATCCCTGGCGAATGTCTCCAGTTCTGAGTTAGAGCCGGGAAATGTCAGCTAGGTTAAAATCCAGTCTAATATCTGGGTGACAGAACAACTGGCACCCACAGCTACCCCCAACCCGATCCGACTACCCCTCAGCCACCAACTGCAATCCCAAACAGACCACACCTCAACCTGACCCCACTACCCACTGAGGACTTCATTACCCACCTGATCTGACTCAATCTGACTAACCCACCCGACCTGAATACCAACCAAACCAACCTCTTGACTACCCATCATCTTGATTGCCCGATCACCCATGCAGGCACCTCACCCACCCTACTCACTTACCCACATCATTCATTTTGACCCTACCCAACTCTCCACTTGCCCTATGCATTCAGCCACCCATTTACCTATCTCATTCAGCTACCCACTTACCTATCTCACCCAGCTGCCCACATCACCCACCTACCCTACTCACATGCATACATATCCAGCTCACCCACCAACACCTACTCACTTGCACACCTCACACACCTAACCTTTTACCTACCTATTTACTCACCAATCTTGGCCATCCGACTTGAGCCACTCACCCACTTCACCCTCGTTCCCAATTATCCACCTTGCCCACATATTCCCTACCCATGAGCCCACTTACTCACGCCACCTATCCACAATCTACTGACCGCACTCATCTACCCACTAACACATTCATCCACTTGTTCATTCACTCATCAATTTACTCATTCTTGTTGTGTGGCACAACTAATCTCCTAAACGAAAGAGATTTTGAACACATCTACTGACTCAAAATTGGGCATCCATGAGGCACTGTGAGCCATTAGCAGTGGCAAAATTGTACTCAAACAAAAATCTTCAACTCACTGGATGATTACGTTCCACAACCATCCCCATCTTCAATGAAGGGAGACCCAGCACATCAGCGCAAAAGATTAGGCTGAAGTATTTGCAACAAACTTCAGCAAAAGTGCCGAGTGGATGATCCATCTTGGCCTCTTCCAGAGGTTCCCAGCATCACAGATAACAATCATCAGCCAATTTAATTCACTCCATGTTTGATCAAGAAATGGCTGAAGGCAATGAATACTGCAGATGCCATGGGCCCTGACAACATCCCAGCTGGAACACGAAATACTTGCGCTCCAGGGCTTGTTGCAAACCGACTTCAGCTGTTCTAGGTACAGTTACAACACTGGCAACAATCCAAAAAATGTGAGATTGATAGATGAGCTGGGATAGGCTGACTAACTGGCTTTTTCGTTTGTGTTTATCATGTAAATATGTGAATAATCTATAGTCTATTAAGAACCAATTGTGTCTATCAAAGAAAAATATGTGTGCAAGTGTAATTTTAGGTGTATTACAGAATGATAATAATGTTAATGAATGATATGCTAATTAGTTTGAAAAAGGTTATACATAGGATTATTAAACAAGCGTTTTAGTTTTATGATGTCATTATTTTGTTAAACTCTAAATACTATGCATCTATCATGCATTTTAAGTGTATCTCTGAAGATTGAATTTTGGTCTGATAAATTGAAATGACACTGTAAACTTTTGGAATAACCAAAATATTCTCCATCGTGCCTAGGTCTATTTGACAAATGCAGCCATTGAATTTGGCAACATTCCCAACAGCATAACAAATATGATCCATTTGGAATGAATTTTATCTCCTTGTGCCAACTCCCCTTGTCCATTTGAGATTTTTTTTTATTGCACACGGAGGAATCAATGGTTGATTTTGTTCTCTCTTTTGCCACATTTACATCCTGCGTTTGTTTTCACACTTCAATCAAGATGGGTTAGATATTTTCTAATGAACTTGTTTAGCCATGCAATGATATAATTCTGAAGCAGATAGGACTTGAAGCCGGACCTTCTAACTCAAAGGTAGGGGCAATACCACTGTACTACTACAGTCAAAGGTATTCTCTACTTTCATAATAACTTTTAGATATTTTCTATCAAGATGGCTTAAGGTTTCAACCTGAAACCATTTTCACCTGGCAGATAAACAGTTTCCAGAGTGCTAATAGAAAGCAATTAAGAGCTGGATGATTTTCTTTTGATTTAGCCAGGGCCACTGAGTCAACTAAATGTCACCTCATACTAACTAAAAGAACTACTGATGCTGTACATCAGAAACAAGAACAGAAGTTGCTGGAAAAGCTCAGCAGGTCTGGCAGAATCTGTGAAGAGAAATCAGAGTTAACGTTTTGGGTCCAGTGCTCAGAACTGATGGTAGCTAGGAAAATGTCAGTTTATATGCACAAGATAGGGTGGGGGTAGGTGGTGAGGAGCAAACAATAGCGGGGGATAGAGTCCAAAGAGAGAGAAGAGCAGATAGATAGACAAACGAGTAGATAACGATCTGGCTAGGAGGGTGAATAGTTGTTAATGGACGCTGTTAGTGGCTAACAATGGGTAGAGTGTAATAGCAGACTATGTGATGACAAGGCTGGTGTGTGGGTAGGGGGCTGGGACATGGGAGAGTTCAGGCCCTAAAATTATTGAACCCGATATTGAGTCCAGAGGGCTACAGGGTCCCCAAGCAGAAAATGAGGTGTTGTTCTTCCAGCTTGCGCTGACCTTTGCTGGAAAACTGCAGCAAGCCAGAGACAGAGATGTTGGCCGGGGAGCAGGGTGGTGTGGAAGATCGGAAGGCAAAGGCAGGCAGAATTACTCAGACCATCACAAAGGAGGGTTGAAAGGAATTGTTGGCCTCAGACAATAACCATTACAAATAAAGCAAACGAAACTTGCACTTACATCTGGCACATATCTGGTGTTTCAACAGAGTATGAACCCTTTCCCAAAGTCCTTTCTCTATGTACAGTGAATGACAGTCCTGAAATAATTGATGGTCAATTCATCTACTGCACTCCAGATAGTCATTTAGTTTTACTCCAATAAGAATCAGCTCTTCCATGGGTTGCTGGAATTCTTTTGACCCACATGTGGCTGAGTCTTAAAAATACTTAAAAAAAATCTCAATTTTAAAAGAATTATCTTTTTCCATCTTCTGTTATTGCTGCTGCTTTCCTGACTTTTGCTGGGGTAAATGTTCCACTGGTGCTTTGTGATATTATGTTCAAAGGACCATATCTGAAATTAAACAGTGAATGTCAGTCCTTTCAGGAAATCTCGTCAAGTCTCGTAATCTTGTAGAACTGAGAATATAACACTCTCACCTCTTAGTCAGTGGTTGTGCGGTAGTGAGGGAAGTGGAGGTGGAGTGTGAGGGTGGTGGAGGAAGAGTCGGTGAGCGTGGTAAGAAGGAGTATGGGGGAAGTGAAGGAGGGGGAGGTGTGAGGGCAGAGGAGAAGATGAAGAGTCAGAAATATCTTGGCTTGTAAACTGTTTGCTTGTGCATCTCCAAATACTGCATCCTACCAACTTTATCACTTGTGTCATCCACTGCTCAATTTACTATACCCAAATCGTTTACCTATCAATAATGAGTTTAAGAGCCGTGAGATCATGCTGCAGCTCTATAAAACTCTGGTTAGACCACACTTGGAATATCGTGTTCAGTTCTGGTTACCTCATTATAGGAAAGATGTAGAAGCTTTAGAGAGGGTGCAGAGGATGCTGCCTGGACTGGAGGACAGGTCTTATGAGGAAAGGTTGAGGGAGCTAGGGATTTTTTCATTGGAGCAAAGAAAGATGAGAGGTGACTTGATAGAGGTTTACAAGATGATGAGAGGTATAGATAGAGTGGATAGTCAGAGACTTTTTCCCAGGGCGGAAATGACTATTATGAGGGGGCATAATTTTAAAGAGATTGGAGGAAGGTATAGGGAGATGTCAGAGCTAGGTTCTTCACACAGAGAGTGGTGGGCGTGTGGAATGCATTGCCGGCAGTGGTAGTGGAGTCAGGTACTGTAGAGACTTCTAAGCCACTCTTGGATAGGCACATGGAGGATAGTAAAATGTAGGGTATGCAGGGTAGATTGATCTTGGTAGGATAATAAGTTGGCACAACATCATGGGCCGAAGGGCTTGTACTGTGCTGTACTGTTCTGTGTTCAATGTTCTATAATTGCTAACTATATCAGCACTCGCACCTCTTATCTGCATGCTTCACCTTATCCTCATCCTCACAGTAGCACTGCAAGCCTCACCTCCTCGCAACTCACATACTGGCAACCATTCCATCATGACAGCCACATCACCAAACCCATACTGCATGACAGTCACTGACACACATCGTCTTTTCTTGGAGATGGCTGGGATTCAACCACAGACAGCAAGGTTTAATGGGGAGGCATATCCTCACGTTTTAAACCCAACAATACTTCTCCTCTCATCCTTCTTGCTCTTCTGACAGCTTGCTCTGCTCAGCTCATATTCCCCACAATGCCAAGGGGAAATTTTACTAGCATATTCATGCCTAGAAGCAACTGGTTAGTGCAAAAGTCTTTAAGCCACCAAAACGTGCTTCAGCATCAGCCAGTCCGTTTCTTGTAAGTGACTAGAACTTTAAACAAGTCTGAAAAATCCTGAGTAAAAATGCAGCACCACCAAGAGAAAATGAACCAGCTATTAACCTGCATGTAATTGATGATCCTTCTAAATAATGCTGGTAAAGAGTCCTTCATGGCTTTGAAAGCCACTTTAGCTGTGTAAGGTTAAGAGAAAGCGTTGATGTTTCAGTGTAGAGCCCTGACATCAAGCCCAAGTGTATCTGCCTTCTCTGGACTTTGCCAGTGGTCATTAGGTGCATGGTGACAATATGACTTCCGGTTGGAAGTGTGCAGTGGGGCACAGTGGAATGAATTTTAAGAGGCACCACTGAGTCCAATTTTGCCCCCTTTAACCTGAATGCAGGAAATCTGTTTAGGAAAGGCTCAACACTTCCAAAGGAATATGAGGCAAAATTTGGGAGAAAAGGTAGATAATCGAATTACAAACGATCTCCAATCATTTGTATTTAGGATGTTTGTACATAACTACTTCTGGTTGCAAATTGAAATTTTTCTCAAGTCCCTAGGGTTAACAACAATCAATATGTCTGACAAGCCCAAACTAATGATCAGAATTAATGAGGCAAAAGTCAATTTCCTTAGTTCTTTGACATATAGTTAACCTAAGGTGACAGTAAGCTCAGTTTAATGAGAGAATGTGACTATTTTTTAGCATAGTGATGATTTGATGAAAAACAAAACGAAACCTGAAAGGAGTTAACTTAAGAACTGAATGAATATCCATGAATTATAAGTTTAGATTGTGGATATTAGTTGATTTGAAGCCAGAATGTGTGAGAGTGGGCTAATTCTACGATAACATTACTGAAAATGAGTTGCTGATGGTACTGCTCAATATTGCATTATCTTACAAACCCACTACTCCAATGTGTTTGGATTCTGCGGTAAAATACCTCAATAAGAGAAGAGAAAAGCAACCACCTATCCACAAGTGAACAAAACAACATGAAAATAAGGTTTTAGCTTGCAATTCATGATATTGTTTCAGTTTATTTATATTTCCTCTAATTGAAAAGCAAATAAAAACATAGGGAACTATGAAATCACCAGATAGAAAATGATAGGTACAAACACAAGTTATACCACAACCAAACAAACAGAAATTGCTGCAGAAACTCAGCCTGTGTGTCAGCATCTGTGAAGAGAAAGCAGTTAACGTTTCGTGTCCAGTACCCTTCTCCAGGTAAATGAGTTTCCACTCCTCAGAACTGGGGTCATTTTTGGGGGTTTCCATATACCATGTAATTGCCCAATGTAAATTTAAACTGCCAAGGTACCTACGACATCGTCAATTTATTGAGATTTCTGAGATGTCCGATTGTGCATTTTCTAGGGTATCTGGTGATTGGAAAATCTATGCTGTCATCATCAGATAATCCTTGCCACCAACTAGCCACCCTTTGCTAATGTGGATCAAAGGCAGCTGGTACAACGAAATGCCCAGAATGAAGGCACCTTGACTGGTGCCAATGATACTGAGAAGGGACCTGTATAATTCTCTGCTCTGGCCACAAAACAGATAGATACTGAGGAAATGGAATGCCTTTCAGTTTCATTACAGGGCAGGGTTAACCTGCAGTGACTAAAAAGTGGTGTGTATGCAATTACTAGCACATTGCACCATGGGGAAGCCTACGGTCACACTCAAGCTGTGCACTGGTTTTTGTCTGTTTCTCTGTGGAAAGAGAATAAAATACAGTTAGCTCTCATTGACTGAAGAATGTTAGTGGTCGCCCTTACACCACAGTGGCAGCAAACTGAGATGTTACAAGCCGTGTCAACCTGGGAAGAGCCCAACATGCACATGTTAATTGCCATGGTCACATTTACAATCACTGACCACGCAGCTTTTGCCCTGCTCTGAGGCATCAGTGTGAACTTGCACTACAAACTACTTGTAAAGCTCCGAGAGTAATCATTGTTAAGAAAATGGCCGCACACCAATTCCCGTTTCTCAACCAAGACATCAGTAATGAGACAGCATTGGGAGAATGGGGGAACAGAACACAACTCCACATCTTGACTTTGTGTTGGTAATAAATACTTCCATATGTGACACAGTCTAAGTTGCCCAGAGAAATCTCTCTAATTTCTGTGCCAGTAATGTATTTTAATTCCCACACAGGCTCAGCGACTCCCACTGCATTTGTATTAAGGGGGACATGATCCAAAGGCAGGTGTATGGAGTTAGACCATAGATCAGCCGAGCCCTCAATGAATGGTGGAACAGGCCTAAGGGACTGAATGGCCTACTCCTGTTCTGATATTTTATCTTCCACTTCTTTTTGGTTACTGGGTGGGTTTGCTAATTGTAGCGACTTGTATTGATTTATTAACACGTTTGCCTGCTGCAATTACAACCACCAACAACTTGTATGAGATTAATCAGGGCAAAATAGTGATTCAGGTCACTTGTCCCGAACTCTGATTTCGCTCCACAGATGATGCCAGACCTGTTGAGCTTATCCAGCAATTTCTAGTTTTTGTCTCCGATTTACAGTGTCCACAGTTCTTTCTGTTTTTATTCAAAATAGTGACTGTTGGCAGTGTCACTAGGGTAGTAATCCAGAATGCTCTGAGGACGTGAATCATAGAATGAAGTTATAGGAAGAATTAAAGAATGGTTGCAGTGTTCAGAAGGAAGCCATTCAGCACACTGTGCCTGTGCTGCTTCTTTGAATGAGCAATGGTGCCAATCCCTTCTTCTTTGCACTGCCCTACACTGTCTTTCTTTTCAGGTAATAATCCAATTCCCTATTGAATTCATTGGTTGATCTCGCTTCAACCATATTGTCAGGCCAGCGCATTTGAGATCCTAACCACTTTCTGAGTGTTCTAGCCACTATCCTCATGTTGCCATTGCTCCTTTCACCAATTATTTAAGTCTATACCTTCTGATTCTCAATCCTTCCATCAACAGAAACATTTTCTGCCTATTTACACTGTTTACTTACTCTCTCTATTTACTCCATGCAGACCCCTTGAAATCTCAAACAAATCTCCTCTCAACATTCTCTTCTGAAAGTACAAGAGTTGGCAGGTCATGTTACAGTTGTATAGGCCTTTGGTTCGACCACATTTGGAATACTGCATACAGTTCTGGTCGCCACATTTCCAAAAGGATGTGGATGCATTGGAGATGGTGCAGAGGAGGTTCACCAGGATGTTGCCTGGTATGGAGGGTGCTAGCTATGAAGAGAGGTTGAGTAGATTAGGATTATTTACATTAGAAAGACAGAGGTTGAGGGGGAACTTGATTGAGGTCTACAAAATCATGAGAGGTATAGACAGGGTGGATAGCAAGAAGCTTTTTCCCAGAGTGGGGGACTCGATTACTAGGGGTCACAATTTGAAGGTGAGACGGGAAAAGTTTAAGGGAGATATGCATGGAAAGTTCTTTACACAGAGGATGGTGGGTGCCTGGAACGTGTTGCCAGTGGAGGTGGTAGAGACGGGCATGATAGCTTTCTGAAGAAGGGTCTAGGTCTGAAACATCAGCCTTCCTGCTCCTCTGATGCTGCTTGGCCTGCTGTGTTCATCCAGCTCTACACCTTGTTATCTCTTGGTAAATAGGTGACAGGTTTAGAGAAAGGATCTGGATTGGCGCAGGCTTGGAGGGCCGAAGGGCCTATTCCTGTGCTGTAATTTTCTTTGTTCTTTGTTCTTTGAAAGAAGAAGGCAGTCCTCCAACTTGTCTAATTCTGAAAGAGTGGTGTCCAAGTCTAATCATAATTAGTTGAACTAGTGTTTTATACATGTTTATACTCACATGCTTTTGTATTCTCTTTTCTAAGCTCCGACTGATGGAGCGTTGGATGATCTTATTAACTATTCTATCAACCTGTCCTTTTGCAGTCAATGTTATATGCCCATATACGTTCAGGTAGCTCTGCTCCCATATCCCTTATAGAATTGTACCCTTTAAATTATATTGTCTCTTTGTGCTCTTCCAACCAAATGGAATCACTTCAAACTTGGCTGCATTAAATTTCATCTTCTACTAGCCTGCCTATTCCATCAGCCTGTCTATGTCCTTTTGAAGGTCTACATTCTCCCCCTCATGGTGGACACTAGTTTCAAAGTCTGATATCATTTACAAATTTTGAAATGATGCCTAAGTACCAAGGTCTAAGTCAATAATAACCTTTAGAAAGAGCAGGAGTCTTAAAAACAACTACTGAGGAACTCTATTATAAACATCCCTTTGGTCCAAGCCATCTGTTACCATTACTCTATTTCCCGTTACTGAAGTCATTTTGTATCCATATTGCTGCCTTTCTTTTTATGCCATAAGCTGTGACTTTGCTCATGGGTTTCGGATTTTGCAAGTCTATGTGTACTGTATCAACAGCATTACTCTCACCAACCCTCTTTTTTATCTTATCAAACACCTCGAACAACGTTGTTAAACACTATTTGCCCTTAAATAATCTGTGCTGGTTTAAGGACTACAGGTATTTTACTTGGAAATATAAACTGGAAATTGAAAGCTTGGATCAATTGCTATTTTCTGTTACAACTTAAAAGAAAAGTGTAATAGCGCAGTCACTTACTGGTTACCAGAGCATCCAACTTTGTCTGAAGTTGGATTTCACTACTTTTGTGATACACAGCTGCACCAATTGTCTTTGAAAAAGATAGTAACTGCCCAACCACAGGGTTTGTACTAGTTTAAGTGCAGTTTATCACAGACCTGAGGACATGTTGGAATATAGGCCTCCAAAAAGTCTACAGCAAGCAAAATCGCACTCTCTGGCTTTTTAATTGGAAAATAAATAATAATCGAAGACTTTGCAAAAAGAAAGAAAACTTTGAATTCAAGCCAAAAACTAAGTCTAAATGACCAGCTAACAAATTGAGGGTCTCCACAGTCAACAAAAATGGTATCATTCCCAAAACAAAAACAAATTGACAAAGTCAATCATTCTTTTGGATTATACTTTGATCCACACACTTTTTGCCTTTTTTGCCAATATTTTACACCCATGATATTCCTAAAAATATTGCGTGTCTCATCTACCTGTTCATACTATGTGTGAATGAATGTGTACATGGTCAGCTACAAAGGAAGTGTAGTTTAAGCTTTCATATCAGTAATTAGTAATCTGTATTCGCTACATGCTAGAGGCTAGGCATTTTTTAAACAATAAATAGAACTTTGTTCTTGATCATTATTGAAACCTGGTGTGAATTTCCTTTGCCTTAGAAAGTGGTCACAGTTAGGTATTAACAATCCAGGAGATTAAATTAATCATATTTCATGACTCATTGATTAGTGGTTTTCCATAATTAACCTGCATCTCTCTAAGTGACTATCAATTTTGTCCTGTCTTATCATTTCCAGGAGCTCTCTCCCAGAGGTTAAACTGACTAGCCTGTAGTTTCTGGGTTTAGCTTTACACCATCTTTTGAAGAAGTTGCAACATTTGTGATTTTGCAGACCTCTGGCACCACTCAGTGCTTCTGAAGATTGTAAAATTATCATCACTGCCGGTGCAATTTCTGCACATACACATGGGTGGTGTGTAACATAGTGTAGCTCACCTCTTGCGCCAGAGCATTTTGGAAGAAATTCATTCGCCCTTTCAGGTGGCAAAGGTGTTGAGGCGGTGATATCTGTCAGGTCCATCTCAGATTCCGAGGTATCTTGAACATTTGACCATTTGAGAGAACCACGGGTTCCAGAACAGTTGGAAAGGCAATCGAGGAGCCAGGCACATTTTCTCCCCCCACTGTTTGCGAGTTTGCAACTTTCACATGGTCCACATGTTTGTTTTGGACCATCACACCTACCTGAATTTTATACATTACTGGACAAAACCTCGTGTCAACCATGCCTTGTATCCATGCAGGGTCATTCCCGTGGTTTCTACACCAAACTTCGTCCCCTGAAGGAAATTGTTTCTCTCACTTAACGGAGTCTTGGGTTGTTCCTGATGCCATTTTCCCCTATCCCTCAGGTCCAGGAAGATCAGATTTAACCTGGTGTGGTGTCTTCTCCCCATTAGCAACTCTGCTGGAGTAGTTGCATGAGGGGTGGACCTACAGTCAAATAGGAACTGAGCCTATTTGGTACCTAGTGAAGCTATAGGCTGTTGCTTTAAGCCTGCCTTCAAAGTTTGGACTGCTCTTTCTGCCAGACCATTGGATGTTGGATGGTATAGAGCTGTCCTTATATGACGAATACCATTCGACTTGAGGCAATACTTAAATTCCTGCTGGTAAACGATGGCTCATGAACTATGACCAACACTTCTTGGAATCCATGTACCGCAAAAGATGTGCACTGTTTTTCTATCGTTGTTCCCGTGTTTGACAAATGAGCTACATGCACGTCCAGCCATTTTGAGTGGGTGTCCACAACGACTAAGAACATCGAGCCCATGAAATGACCTGCATAGTCGATGTGTAATTGAGTCCCGGGTTTAGCCAGCCATTCCCACAAATGTGGGGATCAGCTGGCAGTAACTTTGTCCTTGTTGGCACTCTGGGCACTGCCCCACCAACACAGCTATGTCTGCATCCAATCCTGGCCACCAGACATAACTTCCCTCACCAACATCTTCATTTTGGAAACCCCTGGATGATCCTAGTGGAGTTCAACCAGTATCTGGCAGTGGCCTTTGCTCAGGACAATCACTTTTGCTCCCCATAATAATATGTTATCCTCTACTGTGATCTGGTCTCTCCAGGTCCAAAAAGGCTTCAGTTCTGGTTGAGATGGCCCTTTGGATTCCTCTATCACCACCAGCTGTTTCAGTTTTGCCAGGACCAGATCTTTCTGCATCCAAAGTCTGATACTGTCAGCTGTGACTGGAAGTGTGCCCAGAAAATTTAAAACTATTATGGACTCTTCCAGTGGTGGAACCACTGGTGGTGTATCTGCCAGTGGGAAGCAGCTCAATGCATCTAAATTTGCTACTTGGCCTCCCAGATGATGTTCCAACTTGTAATTATACGCAGTTAGTATTAGAGCTCACTGCTGAATTCAGCCTGAATGTATGGGCGGCTCTGCACGGTCCTCTTTAAGTAAATCTAGCAGGGGTTTGTGCTCTGTCGTTATTACAAATTTAACTTCTGTGATGACTTTGGGAATAGGGGGGCCAGCATATCCCCCCCAGTGAAGTGTGACACAATCCAAAATAATATTAAACAACATTTCAGGGAAAAATGATCAGAGCTTCTCTTTAAAAGTTAGTAGTGTATTAAGTTTTGTCTTTGTTGAGTTGGTGTTAAATATCAGGTTCCAATTTACTATACACAGAAAATACCTACTAGACTTGCCCAGTAACAGGATATAAATGAACAGGCAGACACACAGATTCCTGCAGCATTCACATGCACGCACACATCTACTCTGATAAATCTTTCACTGAACCATTAAAAAATATTAATGGACAGCTCATTTATTACTTTTGGTAAATATGTTAGCAGACATACTATTCACAAGAGCCTGCAAATATACCAAAAGGCATGCACTAAACTACAGAAAGTAGTCACAAATTGGTCATTTACGAGACCCTGTAAATATCAGCAGCTATTGCAAAGAGACTATTTATTCACTTAACATTACAAAAAAGATCAGTGTGTGGCTCATTCATCAGTTGTGGTAAATATACCAATATTGACAATGACCTCCTCTCTCTAATTATACAAAAGACAATCCATTTGCAATATTATATAAATATGAATAAATCATTAATGCACACATTGATTTTGGTAACAATCCACATTTCCCACATGCCCTAATATCCTTATCAACATGATTTATAATTAAACCTAACATTAAAAATAACACCTTGACTGTGACCTGTTGGAAATGATTTGTGTCATCTGGTCTGGCTGCATTGTGATGATGAACTGAATAAAAACTTCACTGAACTGAGATTTTAATAGGTATGAAAGCCACTTACCTTGGGCTGAGGTCAGGGGCTGCAGTACAGTTTATAGCAGGGATTTGCAATTTGGATGGCTTGCTTCCATTGCTGTTTGAAAGTCTGCCTCTGCCAACATCTTTATTGCTGTTGTTCAAGGTGCCTGTGGGGGGAGTAGCTGGCCTGGACAAGTGTTTCACTGGCAGTGAACATTTACTAATCTTAGGTGAACAAAATGCTTTGATGGGTGATATTATTCCTGTGGTACTATTTGCATTGGGAGCCAGGGGTGTGTTCTCATCATCTTCAAGTTCTTCATCCTCCAGGATAGAGGGTAGCTTTTGGATAAGGCCTCCATTGCGTTCATATTCCAACTGCAAAGTGCACAAAACAAAACCTAGACCAATGAAATGACCTGTGCTGACAGAATGACAAGCAAACACAGAACATGAGAGCAACGGTAGATCATTCGGCCCTTCGAATTAACTATTATTAGACCTTACACGTGAGGTCTTTTGAATAATTATAACAAGCCAATCATGGGTATGTATAAAGAAATGTAATTTTTTTTTAAAAACTCATGCAGAAAGAACTTAGACTCTGGCAATGCTTTTAACACCACCTTCTTGCTGTAAAATGGTGACTCACTACATGGTTAAAAATTTCTTCCCAAACCTACGCTTTATTCGCTGTTGCTGTTACCTTAACTGGGCCACGTTTCTTCAGGTGGCCATGATATCTGCCTGAATTAGAAAAGCCATTTTTCCAATTTCATGTGATATAGTGTTTGGGCAAGTTAAAGTTTGAGGATGAGACCGCAGATTTGAAATTTATCCAAACAAATCAACAAACGATAAAATGAATCAAATATTTTGTTGATTTGATTTGATACTGCTTTGAAATGCTACTGACACCAACTCATCCAAGTGGGGTGTGGGTTTGGTTAGGATGCTCTTCAGAGGGTTGATGCAGACTAGATAGGCCAAATGGCCTCTTTCAGCACTGCAGGGATTCTATGATTCTTAGTGGTTCAGTGCAGTTCACAATTTGCAGCTAACAAGTGTTGTGTATATATCTTAAAGGGTTAACTCTGAGGAGTGCCATAAACAGTCTTTACAATGAAGCTGTCATATGGACTTGTGGGAAAAACAGCTTAGGATCTTGGAGAAGTAGGACCTAATATCCAGATTCACCTCACAGTCTCTGTAATAATGCTTATCGTACAAACGTAAACTACATTAATTAATAACATGCAGCAAACCACTTCTGTTTAATAAAAGAGCCTTTTCTGTTTAGGCCAGTAAGAAAGTTTCCTCTAGCACAGTGGACAAGGAGATCCTTACTTTGTATGAGGATGATGGTAGCGAACCTACCTCATGATGAGGTGCAGACTCTGTTTAACTGCACATACAACATGGTGAGCAGCAGTGTATATTCCATTTAAGTACACATACAATATGCTGGCAGCAGTGGAGGTCTGAGATTTTCAAATACAACTTTAAGTTGTCTGTTTGTGCAGTCAGCAGTCAGGAAGAGCTAAAGATTTAAGGACCTTAAAGAAAAATACCATCGTGGCAGAATGCAACAAGGTAAAAGCATTTCAGACTGGGGAGGAAACACACTACAGGAGGAGAGTTAGGAACTCCCTGGAGTTACTCCAAAGCAGACTGCTTCACAATGTGATGGTCTGGAGGAAATGTTCTGAGGCTGGGGGAGCTCACAGACATCAGAGGTTCCATGAGTCACGTTAAAATATGTGTTGGAAGGTTAAGGAATTGTGCAGTATTACAGGCCAGGAAAGCAAAAGAATGAGAAAAGTGCAGACAGCCGAGATTGAGCATCACTTCCAAAGCAAGTAAAAATCATGAAGCAAGGCTACAACGAAGGAAATCAAGGGTCACACAAACAATTTAAACCAAGGTTGCAGACCCAGGATGAAGTAAATCCACATTGAAGTGACAAAGTGGTAGATTAGAAGAACAGTATTAGGGGCAGCGAAGGCCTAGTGGTGTTATCGCTAGATTATTAATTCAGAAACTCAGCTAATGTTTGGGTTCAAATTCCGCCATGGCAAAATTAAGAATCTGCTGATAACCATGAAACCATTGTTAATTGTTGGAAAAATCCATCTGGCTCATTAACGTTCTTCAGAGAAGGAAACTGCCATCCTTACCTGGTCTGGCCTATAACAATTCTAGACGCACAGCAATGTGATTGACTCTCAATTGCCATCTGAAATGGCGTAGTAAACCACTCAGTTGTATTAATCGCTACAAAGTCTTAGCAAAAAAATGAAACCAGACAACCAGCTGCCATTAATCTAGGCACCGATAGAAACAGCCCTGTCAAACTCTGGAAAGTTATCCTTACTAACATCTGGGGACTTGTGTCAAAATTGGAAGGTCTGTCTCACAGAATAATCAAGCAACAGCCTGATACAGACATACTCATGGAATCATACCTAACAGACGATGTCCCCGACACAACTCTCACCGTCTCTGGATATGTCCTGTCCAACTAGCAGGACAGACCCAGCAGAGGTGGCAGCACAGTGGTATACACTCGGGAAGGAATTGCCCTGGGGATCCTTAACATTGACTCCAGACCACATGAAGTCTCATGGCTTCAGGTTAAACATGGGCAAGAAAACTTCTGACTGATTGTCCATCCTGGCCTCCCTTGGCTGATTAATCAGTACTTCTCTATGTTGAACAACACTTGGAAGAAGTGCTGAGGATGCCAAGAATGAAAATTGTACTTTGGATGGGGGATTTCAACGTTCACCACCGTGAGTGGCTCAGCAGCAGTACTACTGATCAAACTGGTTGGGTCCTACAGGACATAGCTGCTAGTCTCTGCATTTAGCCCTGTTATTCCCCGACCTGAGAATTCTCAATGAGAATTGCATATTGGGACCCTGCAGAATCCCTGACTTTGGTAGGAATTGCTCAGGAAATTGACACCCTCCACCACCCTGGGACCTGGCACCCTCTCGTCCTGCAGGACCAGCTTGCCCCTATTGTTGAACAAAACAACCTTCCTCTCCCCATGTGGATACAACATTCCCCAGCCATGACAACCTACCCAAAACACTCCATCACTTACTTGGTCTCCTTCCCACCTTTTGTCCTTGTATCCCATCCACTTAGCATCCTACCCTGCTAGTACAGTAACCACATTCTTATCCTTTCACAGGGGCTGTCAAAGCGGCTGTCTGTGATGCTGGACATTTATATCAGAGAATACAGCAACCACTGTTGCGGCAAACTACTATGGCAAACCATTGGTTCGATTTTCTCAACTGTTCTGCACTGTGTAGGACCTGGCCCCACGATCAAAACTGGCTGCTGATTACTTCAGGAACTAGCCAGATAAAGTCAGTCTGGAGCTGATAGGACATTAGAGGAAGTGATGAAGCCTGCCTCATATAAACAGTTAACCCATCCAGAGACACAATGTCTAATTTGTCTTTGCCTGCAAAATGTTTCACAGGAACTTGAACACATCTTTCTCTGGAAACCCAGAGACGTCCAATTTTCACTTATCTCCAAAGAACCATGAAAGAAAACCTATTAAGATAGGCAACATGTGCATCTTTAAGGACTAACTTAAACATGTGATTCGCTTCTTATTATTCTGTCAATAACCTAAATGCTTGCTTCATCTTACTTGTGTGTGTTTGTGTTTCTGTGTTTGAGGGAGTAATTTTATTGCTTTTACATTTCAGGGTGTTTTGTCAACAGTTGTTTACCTTATGCTCTGATTTAAATGTACCAGAAAGCCTGCCTCATGTCTAACATTAATTTTTAATATGAACCCTTACTTTTTTATTACTAAAGGTAATTCAAAAGATTTAAAATCCCATGTATGCAGCTCATTGCAGATAGCTGAGGGATGAGGAAATTTATCATGTCTCTCTACTGTCTGTAACACAACAAAAACTCTGGTGGGAAAGGATCTCCATCCAGAACATGGCCTAGAACATTTACTGCCTGTTGCATGGACTTGTTCATGTTGGTGCAAAGACAATGTGAAATTCACGTGTCAGCTGGCAGGTCTACAGACAGCGTTACACACTATGTTTGTTGGCTGCACAGCCTTTGGGACAAGTGGAAAATCAATCAATGGTAGTCAGCATCTCTGAAAGGAGATATAAACCTCTGGTTGTAGACACCAGACAAACACCACATGTGGAGAGAAACGGTTGTAAGAGGAACAGAATAACCAGGCTGTCCCTCCAGCATTTGGCCAGCACCAAGGGGAAGAATTCCTGTTTCCCCCTTGGGGTCTGACACCCAGGAAGTTCACCAGGTATTATCTCCACTGCAAGTAATACAACATTGCAGAGGATCTCAGTGCTGGAAAGCTAACTCCCAGGAGATGGATCCAATAATTCAGTGACTTCATCAGTGCTGTAAAGATAAGAATTGTACCATGTACTTTACAGGATAGCCCAAAGGAAGGATTGTCACATGAAGATAAATCAATGTTTATGGACCCGGGGGGAATAGTGTGGCACAATTGATATCACATGCTGGCCTTACTGAAGAGACCTCAAAAGCCGACTTAAGTGTCTATTCTACTGAATGGGCTGCTAAGGATACATCAGGAACTTCAAGTTACATAGGGAAGGCTGTGCGATGATTCAAGGCATTGAAGATTGCAGTTTCAACTGTGTTGGGGCTCTAAGCTGCACACAATCACCTAGGAATACATCTTGAAGGAGAATTAAAATAGAGCACAAAAGACAGGCATTAAGATGTTTGTGTTATGGTAATATTCGATTCTTCCTATTGTACATCTATGGAAGAGAATTGTTGGTGCAATTTTTTCTGGATTTATTGTTGATGTTTTTAGTGAGAATAATGCTAGCTGAAGGAAAGCAATTAGGTGATGACAATGAGGACGATGGTAATCAGTGTAGCCTAACTACTGATGATTTTGGGTTAGAAAAGATGGTTCATATGAAACGCTCTAAGATGAGTATGACCTGTCATGAGCCACGTCGTGGGGGAGATGTTTTTTGCAAAGAAGTAGACTGTCATTGATTATCTGTTTGGAATAAACGTAAAATAGACCATTCGAACAGGATGAATGAACTAATAATGCCGTCAGGATACTGAGTATAAACCAGTGTGATGCACTTTCTGTCAGCTGAACTTTCAGAGAGTGGAATAATTTCCATTGCAAAAGATGCTAGGATGAAGGCAGGGAATATGTATGGTACTGTGAGTGTAGTTTTCTGTATCCTACATTCTGCTGAAGTCAGAAATTCCTGAGTCCAGTTACATGCTGCTGCCACTTTGAACGGTCCCTTATGTGGCCAGCTGTAGCTTGGAAGCAGTTCAGAGCCGTCCATGCCCTGGTTTGAGTCTCCAGCTGTGGTTGCAGTAAGTGACACAGCTTAACAGATCGCCTCTTTCGTGAAACAAAGATACAGGAGAAATTGTTCTTCAGCGTTGCTGAGCTATTAAGATTGCTCCCACTGTGAGAATAGCCTATTGCTGGTGAATGCCCTCCTTCTCTCCAACTACTGGTGTCTTCTTTGCTGCTTCTCAGCGCTGTGATTAACATTTTAAATGGAACACTTTACAGAGTCCTTGCTATCTGTTGGTGCTGTAATATTCTGGCTGAATTCATCACATGTTATGCCAGACAGTCCAGAAAAAGGGTTCAAAAACAAGGAAGAGCCTTTATTTCAATATTAGAATGAACATTTTAAATGCTTTGGTGCACCACTCCCTGGAGGCCTATTGACAAATCCTGATCCAGTAAGGTGGGTCAGTGCAGAATGGGTAAATGCAGACCATCTATCAAATTGGCTACTTGTGCCTATAATATTGTTATGGTGCAGTCAAATGTCTACCCTAAAACAAGCTGTCTGACTTAAAATGGCTAGAGAATCTTAGAAGATGCGCTTGTGGAGGTTCAGACATATTTTTATGTCAGGTAATATTGCAAGTTTGGCATGTGCTATAACTGATGAGAGAATTTGATGCTGCATCAGAGTTTTAATAAGGAAGATCATATTTCTGACATGTCTTAATGTGGATAAGCAGAAACAAGATCACCAAAAATTGTAAATTAGAAAAAGCAGTGCAGCTTTAGCTGGATTGAAAGTGTTAATACTCACTGGGCTATGTGCAGTGATGGTGATGTTAACTGACCTATCTGTGAAATTAAAAAATACAGTCATTTCAAGGGGTTATCAAAAGCACTTTGCTAACCTCAAAAAAAAAGGCAAATCTGAATCATATTTTTTGGGAAACACATGTAATCCCTTTTCTCTTTCTGAAATTTCTAGTGAAGGTGAATCTGGTGGCATGAGAACAGCACAAGGGATTTCATGGAAGCTTCTCATTATAAACCTGCCACGTATATTTAACTCTCGCTCTTAATAATTCATGAACCTGGACTCATTCAGCCTTCCAACTTCTATTTTTAGCAAGAGAAGCAATCCCTTCAGGAACTCGGAGCTGCTAGCTAGCCAGAAGAAAGGTTAAAAAATTGCCCACGTGCACAAATCCTTTGAGCAAACAAGCAGGCTTCAATTTATGTGCAGTCATGACTCTTTCAGACAGTTTGCAAACGCAAGGAAGGATTTACTCGAATTACTGAAACCGTCGTTCTCATTTTTTCTACTGCCACATATTGTTTGGGAGGTAATTACTAGAATCTGCAAATCAATTTTTTTTCCCCTTCCATGCTCTTGAAACAGTGGTATCAGCATGTGCAGAGAAGCCTGCCCTGTCTTGTGTTATTGATGAGGCTGGAGAGAAGGGAGAGTACATCCTGCTATTTTTAGCTCTAATATCAGCCAAAGTCCCTGAGAGACTTTCAGAGCTCCAGAACAAGCTGCTGTATTTTAAGCATGCCAGGTATTATTAGAAACAGTCTGTCAGTACTCATTTGAAGCTGAAATACCTTTTAATTCCCAACAGTAAAAGCTGTAGCACTGCACAATTATATGTTTCTAAATTTGGTTGCCTTCAATTTCCCAGACTAATCACATGAAAATCCTTCAGAAATGCCCTGTCTGATTTCACCACCATTATAAAAAATTGCCCTCCCCCCGCTCCCCCCCCATTCCATGCTGTGCTTGGCAGTGATGAATGGTGTCAGCCACATTTTGTAGTCCTCATGCTTCCTTTTGTATGAGATTTGCAAAAAAAGACAACTTTTATCTTTAATTTTTTTTATCAATTTTTCTTCCCTCCTCTCTGTATCAAAAACGTCTTGATTTTGCATGACTTAAAGAAACAATCCAAGGTGCTCTTCAGCTGGCTGTGAGGAAATGGATGCTAAAGAGAGAAGGAAGAGAGAAATTACACCCAATGATTGAAGGTGTGGACAAATTTGGAGGTTTTGACCAGGTCTGCAAAGTGGACAGGGAACTGGAGAGACCAAGTGGCTCGGGGTAGGGGACCCACAATGCAGGACCATCTCCTAAGAGCTTTTTGAGCCCAACTCTTGCTTTTTCCTTTCTCCTTAGCCCAAATGTTTCAAGGCCAACTCGGCCACCTCTGAGTCTTGTCTAAGCTGCAATCAACTATCTCCGCACCAACTGTGTATAGATTGCACTTATTACTAAACTGCGGAAGCTCAGGAATTTGTACCTCACATATTTTATAAATTGTGGGATTTATAAATTTGAAAAATACGCAAGAGTACACCTACGATAATTTAAGGGCATGAACTTACATCGGCATCATTCCCCACTCGCAGGTTGTACGTCAAGTCATGCTGAATGTCCTCAATGAATTTCTGCGCGTATTCAGGGTACAGCTCCAGTACTTCCCTCAGCCCCTTCAGGATAATATACTGCAGATCACAGTAGGTCAAAGCCTTCACGTTTGCATTGGTCTTAATCACTTGGTCCTTTGCCAAAAAGTCAGAGCCAATCAAGTCGCCTTTACCTGGATAGGTGAAGAGAAACCCCAAGTCAGTAATTTTCTGCAAGTGTCTGGGCCAACTCTTAGAATTTGTGCAAAAACAGAGGTGCAAGACACAAGGTTCACTGACTGAATTCAATCTACTCAAATTCTGGAGCCACTAAATATCTTATTATTTACGTATTTATTCCACTGTTACTGTGCTTGTGGAAACATCCATTCTTACTGAACAGCAAAATGTACTGTGAAGTTGTCGTTGATTCAGTATCAAGCATTTCATAGTGAAATAAAAATTTACAAGCTTTTGTTTAGTATTCAGTGCAGATGACACTTTGAATAAAACATGTCACTGGCTGACTCTTTGCCAGACTGTTGTAGTACAGAGGAATCCACAAATCCTTGTAGATAAATCACAAGATGTTAGCATGCAGGTATAAATAAATAATCCGGAAGACGAAAGGGAAGTTGGTTTTATTGCAAAGTAGATGTGGTATAGAAGTGGAGAATTCTTGCTAAAACTGTACAAGGCATTACGCAGCAAATAGTCTGGCAGCTGGCTTATTCTTTGAACTAATGTGTACACATTGCTTTTACCTTCGACTGATGTTCTCACTGCACATAGTAAGTGGGATTATTTCACATAGATTGAATGGTTTGGGTTTTCCTGACTTTGCTGCTTAATTTTGGGTGATATTGGGACAGGTAAGTGCATGAAGTCAATATGGAACCATTACACCAGCTCCCTGCCAGTGAGCACTACTTCCCGGACTCATCATAAGTATAGAATATGTCCAACATAGTTCGACAAAACCAATCAAGGCACCTAGTAACACAACACAGTGATGTGAGGCATTGGCATATCAGCAGTGTCTTACCAGTCAGGTGACACATGAAAGATGGCATTTGATTATTGGTGACAACAGACCTCCAGTTCTTCAAGTGAATAGCATCATTATCAAGGACTCTGGCATCTCCCTGGTACCACTCTACTGACCTTCTGGTATTAATTTGCTGAATGGCATCTTCATGTTCCTCATCTGAATCCTCATTTAATTCCTCATCTGGGAAGTCTTGAAAAGGAAAGGTGTCCTCATCTTCCAGTTTCCTACCTTTTGCACAGCCAAAATGTGCACTGCATGTCAAACAACAACGTTGAAGAGGACCTGAATTGACTGTAGAGTAGCAAGATAAGATTTTAGATTGAAATGAGAGAAATGGGTGGGGTGGGTGAGCTAGGTGGGTGAGAGATTGAGGTGCATAAGGGGGGGGGGGGTGGTGGTGAGTGGATGTCAGGTCAGGGGGTAATCAGATCAGTTTGGGATGGGTTGGAGTGTGGTCAGTTTGTCAGTTTATCAGTGAGGTAGTCAAGCCAGGTCAAGAGGGAATTGGGTCTGGTTCAGAGGATATTCCAGAGTTAGATGGTTCTGGTTGTGTGGAGTGAGTAAACAGGTCAGAGACTGGTGATTGGGAATGGGGGCAGGAGGTGATGATGAGTTGTGGTGTTGCTGAGGTATCAGACCAAGTTTTAAGCTGGTCAACACTTTTGGGTGCATTATGCAGGAAAGCACTAAGTAAGTGCTCACTAGTTTCCAACTTCAGTTGAGAATCAGGGACATTTCCAGAGGGCCTCAAGCGGGAGGCAAATTACCTAGCGCAAGTTCAAACTTTCCTGTGCAATTTCCACAAAGGCCAGTACATTTGCACCTCCACATCTTCTGCAGTGCTTCTAATTTTTGACAAGACAGAGTGCAGAAGATTTGGGCCACATGAATCTGCTGGCCTTCTGCTTAACTTACTATTTTAAAATTCTGAGGATGGCTCAGCAACTTGTATAGCATTACCAAACGAGCTGAGCAACGTAGAGGAAAAGAGAAGGAAAGTAATGCAAAATGAGACACACTGGGTTCCAGTCCCCTTCATGCATGTAAACTCTCCGCCATGTTGCCACCAAGGTATAATGGACAACATCAGCTTGATGCTTGTTACAGTCTTGGTCCAAACATGGACAAATATCTAAACTCAAGAGGGCAGGTCAGGGTGACTGCTCCTGAAATATTGGCAGTGGAGTATTCAGCGATGGAAATGCCATTGAATGTAAAGAGTTAGATTTCAGAGGGTCAAATTCTCTCCTGTTGGAGCCGCTCATTGCCTGGCACTTGTGTACCACGAATGTTAATGGTCACTTATCAGCCCAGTTCTGAACATTGTTCCCGGTCTTGGACATGCACTGCTTCAGTATTCGGGGAGTCACAAGTGGTGCTAAGTATTGTCCAATCCTTGGCAAATATCACCACTTCAGACATTACGATAGAGAGAAGGTCATTGATGACGCAGTTGAAGATGGTTGGGCCCAGCACACAGTCCTCAGGAATTTCTGCAGAGATGTCCTGGAGCTGAGATAGTTGAGAACACCACCTTCTGGTTCAGAGGTGGGTTACCATCAACTGAGGTGCATTAATACGGAATCATGATTTGAGGACATCTATATTTCACTAAAATTGGTTGAATTTCAGTTGTAAAGGGAATGATTCATGGTGGAGCCTTCCTTGTGAATTTAAGCAACACATTTAATCATTAAGTTTTGGGAATTAACATCTGAATTAACATCTGCAGCTTGCAACATTCTCTCAACTGGATTATTTTATTAAAATGAGGTTGGCAATTCCACGAAAACAGCAAAGGTGGGAATTTGATATGACACCTATGTAATGTTATCAACGGTCACAGTAACTTGTAGGCTCTGGTCTCATTCTAGCTGGCAACATCAAAAAGACAATGTTCTGAAACAGATAAATAAGTAAATTAACAGTTTAAACTTTTATACCTACATCAGAGAAGGACAGATAAAAGCAGTTTCTTTGGCCTCCCTTTAAATACAGCATTTGCATGCAAATCTGTAACTAAAATAGATGCTCAGATTTTTTGCCAAGGTAAGGTTAGATTGTGATACTGTAGTTTTCAACATTAAAGATCTTCAAATTATTCCTAGGTCCAGATCAACTCTACAGAGAAATTTAAAGCCTAGTTTTTTTTAACTTTCTGTGTGATCTTGAAAAATACACTTTAACTTTCCCAGCACAACATTCCAATTCTTTAAAATCTGATTATTCACAGAATGCTTGTTGTTTATTTGTGGGACATTTATTCCATTAAGTGCTGTAGTAAGTGCAGTTTGTTGTTGAGAAGAAACAACTCTGGGGACATATTGTTTTCTGTGTGGCCACTTTGATGAAGTGGGACTGTTTTATTCATTGTTGCTGGCTGGCCAGCATTTTATTGCCTGTCCAAGTTGCCCTTGAGAAGGTGGTGGTGAGCTGCCTTCTTGAACCACTGCAGTCCACATGCTGTAGGTTGACACACAATGCCATTAGGGAAGGAATTCCAGGATTTGACGCAGCAACACTAAAGGAAAGGCAATATATGGCAAATGGCTTGGGGGGGATCTTGCAGTTGGAGGTGTTCCCATGTATCTGCTGCCCTTGTCCTTCTTGATGGAAGTGGTTGTGTGTTTGGAAAGTGCTGTCTAAAGATCTTTGGTGATTTTCTGCAGTGCATTTTGTAAATAGTACACACTGTTACTACTGAGCGTCGGTGATGGACCGAGTGAATGTTTGTGGATGTAGTGCCGGTAAATTGGGGGGCTTTGTCCTGGATGGTGTCAACCTGCTTGAGTGTTGCTGGAGCTGCACTCATCCAGACAAGTGGGGAGTATTTCAAAATACTCCTGACTTGTGCCTTGTAGATGGTGGACAGGTGCTGGAGAGTCCGGAAGTGAGTTACTTGCTGCTGTATTCCTAGCCTCTGACATGCTTTTGAATGAATAAATGAATGAACAAATGAACAAATTAATGAATTAGCTTTATTGTCACATGTACTCAAATGAGTACAGTGAAAAGTTTATAAGTTGCCACTTACAATGCCATCTTAGGTGCAAAGGTACCTAGGTATAGCTTCTTCGGTTACAGATTAGTTACAGTGTAACAATGTCACCAACACATGGCACCATCTTATGTACCAAGTACCTAGGCATATTCCTTAGTTATGGAATAGGGAAATGAAAGCAAAAAGTTATATTACACTATACACAGTACAACCGTAGCCACTGTGTATATGTGGCGAGTCCAGTTGAGTTTCTGGTCAATGGTAATCCCAAGGATGTTGACAGTTGTGGATTCAGTGATGGTAACCTCAATGAATATCAAGAGGTGGTGATTAGATTGTCTCTTATTGGAGATGGTCCCCATTGCCTGGCATTCATGTGGCATGAATATTAATTGCCATTTGTCAGTCCAAGCTTGGATATTGTCCAGATCTTGTTGCATTTGAACATGGACTCTCATTATCTGAGGAGTTGTGAATGGTGCTGAACATTGTGCAACCATCAGTGAACATCCCCACTTCTGACCTTATGATGGAGGGAAGGTTATTGATGATGTAACTGAAGATGGTTGACCCTAGGATACTACCCTGAGAAATTTCTGCAGAGATGTCCTGACTGACCTCCAACAACCACAACCATCTTGAATGTATCAGGTATGACTCCAACCAGCAGAGAGTTTGCTCCTGATAACCATTGATAAAAGTTTTGCTGGATGCCCACCTTGGTTGAATACAGACTTGATGTCAAGGGCTGTCGCTCTCACCTCACCTCTGGAATTCAGCTCTTTTATCCCAGTTTGAACCAAAATGAGGTCAGCAGCTGAATGGTCCTGGCGGAACTCAAACTGGGCGTCACTGAGCAGGTTATTTCTGAGCAGGTGCTGCTTGACAGCGCTGTTGATGACACCTTCCATCACTTTACTGATGTTTGAGAGGAGACTGATGAGGCGGTAATTGGCCGGGTTGGATTTGTCCTGCTTTTTACGTACAGGACATACCGGGGAAACTTTCCACATTGTCAGGTAGATGCCAGTGTTGTAACTGTACTGGAACAGCTTGGCTAGGGGAGCAGGAAGTTCTGGAGCTCAAGTCTTAAGTATTATAACCAGAATGTTGTCAGGACCCATTGCCTTTGCGCTATCCAG